GCGGCGGAGACCTTGATGATGCGATGTCTATCATATATGCGCTGTGCTCAGTCGTTAATCATCTTGTCTGCAAGTTGTTATGCCAGCCATGATGCGCCGAGGGCTTGAGCTTACTCCGACTGTGTACCGCCGTGGCTGTCCATGCGCACGTGCATGGCGGCTCGCTGATGTAACCCGCACGGGTGAGGCAGGTAGGACGACTGAGCGGCCGCCACAGCAACTTGAATAAGATCGTTACACTCACGTCAGTTTGGGCAGGACCGTCCTCCATGCACGCAGGCCGCCGCCGCAGCGCGTTGCCTCGCGTCACCCGTCCTCGTCGTCCGATGCCGCGCTGCTCCTCCCCGCCCGCAGCCGCCGCGCCTTCGCGCGCCCGCGTCAGGTCCCACCCCGTCCGCCGCCGCGAGCAGCACACAAGAAAACAAAGGAAATGCTTTCAAGTGTGAGTGGATGCCTCGCGAAATACTTCGTTGATACAGGGACAAGTCAAGAACAGCCAGGCGAGGCCCGAATGAGCAGGAAAGCAGGGCACGGGGCGCGTAGGAGCCACGAACTGCAGGCATTGCCACTCTGACGGCCGCCTGCCGGAAGGGTCACCAAGACTGACTGCGCGCCCAGATTGGAGCCAGCCACGGCGCGCCAGCATTCAGGGTGGCCGTGCACGAGGGACAAGGGCCGGTGGAGGGCTGCCCCATGTGACGTCTGCCAGGGACGCAAATCCCTCCTTCAGGACGCGAGGCAGCAATCACATGGCAACCACACGCACAACTTATCATCCGTAACGTGGCAGTCTAGCACCATCAGCATCAGGCGTGTCAGGGCTGCCGTGCCAAACACGTTGAACAACAGTGTGAGCGCACTGATCCCAGCGCGGCTTGAACTTCTCCTTGAGATCACCTTTTTTAAACTCATTGTCTGCGAGCGCATCACCACTGGAAAAAGGACCACAGCGTCCACTGCGGCCGCGCGCAAGCGTATGCGTGGGCCACCCTCACACCTGCAGAGTGTGACACAGGCGCACCCCAACGACACGCGTCCTGAGCCGGGGTTGGGTGAGGAGCTGCACCCGCGGGACATGGCGCAGCACCAATGCCAATGCTGCTACAGTACATGCTGCCTGCATGTGCCGCGACCCCTCCACATCTTTTGGGGACCCTGATGCGCACCCGGCTTTAGCGCAGCGTTGATGATCACGTCCTGTCCATCGTGGAAGCCCCTCAGGCTGTAGCCCTTGTCGTCAGTGGTCGGGTCGGCGCCGTCGATGCTCACCAGCACCAGCCTCTTTGCTGCCAGCACCTTTTTCAGAACCGACACGTGAAGCCTTCCCTTGTACAGGATGGCCGCCAGTGTGAAGTCAAGACCGTCCCCCTTGATGATCAAGTTGACGTTGTCTAGACGATCGACAGCAAGCGGACCTGCGTGCAGTGGAACACAGGGGGTGAAGTCAGCGAGACGTTGCGACACAGCGTGATGAGCAAGAGGGTATTATATAGGCACTGTTGGGTGGCTCAACAAGTGGGGTGGAGTAAGTGGGGGTGGTGCTCAGCAGTTCGTCGTCCCTTCCCCTCTCCGCAGCTGCGGTCCACACGTGCAGGTGCAAGCTGGCCACGGCTCATGCACACTTTCCTGCAAGCTCCTGTCGCAGGATATCAAGAGCGTCCATGTACGCTCACGCTCGCAGTAATGTCAAAGCTGCACCCCGCATGCCGCTGGCCACATGCTGAGCGCTAGCCTCATACAGTGGCATTTGTGGCAAGGTGTGACGCACTGCACGGCTGATGTGACCCCCGCAGCTGGTGCTGCAGAAATTGGTGCTTTTCAAATCATTGCCCATTTCAAACAGGATTTTGAAGATGGGTCGTGCATTACTCCACGGCAGAGTTTGAGGCTCAGCATGTCACGTGCTAATGTCAACGCCCTGCGTATGCTGTGTGCGCAATCCAGCCTCACCTGGCTGCTGCTGCTGCTGCTGCTGCTGCTGCTGCTGCTGCTGCTGCTGCTGCTGCTGCTGCTGCTGCTGCTGCTGCAAAAGCAGCCTCGTTTGGGAAAGTACAACAAGTATCTGCTCCATTGTCACCAGCTCCAGCAGCATAAACTTGCGCTCTTCAAGGTCGTTCACATTGTTGAGGTCAGCCTCCCTTTTGGCAATGTCTTGATTCAATTTTGTAGTTTCCAGCTTGACTTGCGTGATCGCCTGCTCAACACGATCAGCTGCCATTGCGTCCTGCAGCAGAGACTGCAGGGGACTGGGTGAGTGGCTCAGGCGTGAGCAACCTCTGCCCCTGGGGCTGATGGGACAGGATGCTGCTGCTGGGAAACACCTGCAGCAGGGTGCAATTATGAAAGGACATTGAAGAGACGCATGCCGACCAAACCCTGGTGTGCGGGCCACGACAGGCGGACGCGCCAGCACCGCGCTGACATCCAGGACCCAGTCTGTGACCTTACCTGGCAGCGGTGAAGCACTCCTTCAGAGACAGGCTACAGCACAACAAACGGAGAGGGTTACGTGGTCGAGAAGGCCAGGGTAAGCTGCTCGAAGCTGCGAGGGGGCCCAGCGCTGTGCTTGTGCCCGTCGTCTGCTCACAGGCCGTACATGTACTGCACCACTACGGCGTCACCAGAACGGGCCTAAGCGGAACACAGCTTGGCGAAGCCTTGAGGTGTACGCAACTGAAACGAAACCCGGCTTTGTCGCTCATGGGGCCGCGGTCTGCCTTTCACCCAATCTGTGATGCCAGCCAATGTGCAGGGGGCTTGAGCTTATGACAACTGCGTACGGCCGTGGCTGTCCATGCGCACGTGCACGGCAGCTCACTGGCCGCCCACGCCGGTGACAAAGGACGACTAAGCGGCCCCCACAGCACCTCGAAAAAGGTCGTTACAAGCACGTCAGGCCGCTCAGGACCGTCCTCCATGCACGTAGGCCGCCGCCGCAGCGCGTCACCCGTCCTCCGTCGTCCAGTCGGCCTCGCGCTCCTCCCCGCCCGCCGCCGCCGCGCCGTCCCTCGCTCGTGTCAGGTCGTGCACCTCGTCGGCCGCCGCGAGCGCCGCGTCGCGCCGCAGCGCCGCGGCGCGCCGCCCCACAAACTCCAGCACCTCCCCATCCCACTGCTCCCCCAGAAGCCCGTCGTCATCCGCCCGGGCCGTGCCCCCCTCCTCCTCACCCCCATCCAAACCGTCCTCCCCCTCGTCCTCCTCGTCCCACCCCTCTACGCCGCCGGCCGGCCCTTCCCGCGCGCGCCACGCGCCGCCGGCCGAGCTCGCGCCCTCGCCGCCGCCCGCGGGGCCCTGGCCGACTTCGTGGTACTGGCCGGATGCAGCGTCGTACTCCAGAACCGCGATGCCCCGCGTGCCGGCGGTCTTGCTGCGCACCTTCTGCACCTGGATCTCAACCGTGAATCCCATAAACGGCGC